ACGCCCCCTCTCCCATGCATCTGTATAAAAACAGCATATTATACCAGCGCTCCGGTCCTCTAAATTCCCATTACAACACCTCCCTATTATGAAAACATGGCGGCCCTTTACTATGCTCATAACCGTTGTTGTGGCCACTGCACTCAGATAGCGTTCGTTCTCGGCGTACTTTACTCCAATATTATAAAGCTACCGCGTTCAAATATAGTACCACTGCTAAACCACTTTCATTTACCGCCGCGACTTTTATTGCGCCGCCAATTCTTTTGCGCTCATTCACCGGCGCCACGTCTACCGCGCCGCTTATTCTTCTTCGCTCATTTTTTTTAACAGTCACCGGTACCACTCCCATCGCACTGTCAATTCTTCAACGCTCATATACCGGCGTCACTTCTAGATTTATTGCTCTGTTATACCGACACGACATTAATATTCCTGGGCCATTGATGCCTTAGTTCAACATTACGGCATCCCTCCCAAGTGTTCATAAACCCCGCCCTATCTATTATAACAATACGGGGGCCTTTACACCACAACACTACGGGGGCCTTTACACCACAGCAATACGGGGGCCTTTACACCACAACAATACGGGGGCCTTTACACCACAACAATATGGCGCCCCTTCCTAATACAAAACTGGGAATTTTCCCATTTCTACAATTCGTTTCTCGGTACAAAAACACGAAGCATTTCCCAATTGCCACAACATGGCGTCCCTCCTTCCCGATACTGTTGTCCCTTCATCATGCTCGTATACCGATGCTCATGGACTCCCCTGTGTAACCCGAATTGAGATAGATGAGGTTTGTGATAGATGGCAGCCGCTTCCTCTGAACCTTGGAGAGATGACCTACAAACCAGCACAATAAAGGTCGGATATAAACGTTGACTCACCGTGATCCTTTGTTTTTTTTCTCATTGTGTAACAATAAAATTTGTCATTTGGAACGATGCTGGAAAAAGGCAAAGCCGACCTCGTTGAAGTTCGGATGCCGACACCAATGGAGCAGTGCCAGGTACTGTGTGTATGAGTCGGGCTGGGTTATCTAAATATTCAAGTCATTAGTATGATATATGTATAATGTTGTTTTCATCTAATTAGTCCACTGTGACAAAGTTCGTTGCCTATTCAAATGTGTTGGTGTTTTGCTCTGTTTCACGGGAGCATCATACGGACCACATCTCCCTGACATCATTGTTTAATGGTATTAAGGTTGGTTACCCTACATAATTCAACTAGATAGATAGAACTTGGTCTAAACGTAGCCGTTCCAAAAGCTAAACCTAACGGGAGGTTTCAGTTAATCGTCTTCTTACCACGCCGTTCAGAACACATATTTTGAAAAGGCGCACAAGACCACAGGCTTCGAACAAATAGTTCCTTTTTATAAACCCATTAGAACACAGATTTCAGACAATGGTTTAGTTATGTAGACCCATTAGACCACATATTTCAGACGATGACTTTGTTATGCAGACCCATTAGACCACAGGCCTCTGACAATGGTTTGTTATGTAGGCCCACCAACTCTCATCCCAGTAGGCTAATCATGCTGTCACTACAATATAGTTGAAATCTGTCCAGTAGTTCGGGAGATGTCTTTAAAGCAGATCAGCTTATTTGACCCCTTTTGTCCCACCATTCAACCATAAGGAGGGTCAGCCCCTTATTTGTAGAACTTTTTATCCTCATTGACACAGCATATTCCCTATTCAATTTGAAATCTGCTCAGTAGTTTGAGAGAGGATGTCATTTAAAACAATTCAGCCTGTTTTATCAAGCCTCCAGGATGGTCAGCCCTTATATCTATATAAATTTTGATCCCCGTGACTTAAAGGTGATCGCTCCAAAACCTTGTTGAATTCTGTTATGTAGTTTAGGAGATGTCATTTTAAGCAACAAATGACAAGACGACAGACAGGAAGCACCACTTAAGCTCACCCTGGTACTCATACCAGGTAAGTCATCAGAGGTTTCCAAAAATAGTTGTTATATTGGCTCACAGGCTTCAGACAATGGTTCTGTTAAATAGGCTTTGTCTCCTTGTTAAATAACATGTGTTGTTTTCGCCTTGATATGACTACCACCATAGGTCAGTCCAGATGTATTGTTTTACTTGGTTACACTGAAAATATGTATTCAAATCAATGAAGGAACAGAGAACAGAGACAGGAATTTATTTTCAATTTTGATATTTTTTATTAAGTATTTTTATTTCTTTTTAAGTCATATTTATTTCATAAATGTTATATACATATATTTTGTTCAATATGCTAAACAATGATGATGAGTGATACAAATGATGTGCCCGTCATCTTGGTATTTATACAAGTTTCTTTTCTAAGTGATACTTTATACTAACCAGAGAAGAAACCTGTAGACATACCTGACCCAGCGATGCTGTGGTATGGTTTTACACAGTATTTAAAAATCAAGAACAGGACACGTAGAAAAATAAAGTTTTCGTTGTGGATGATCATTAAATGTAGCTATTCACAGGCCTTAGGCTCACTATCACACAGAGCAAACACTGCACCATAAACTCTCCTTCATTCGTTCAGGAAGTCGACACCTTTAACTGTGATCAAGGCCACTAAGTCATGAACTCTGCCTCATTTGGCCATAAACGCTAGGTCTATGGGATATGGATAGAAGTTCAAGGAGTCAGTGACCTCACACAGATTACTGTTCACCACAACTTCCACACACATACACACTGAAACACTGACAGCTACATGTCTGACAGAGAAAAATACAAGCATATATATCTAAGATTGTTATTTAGTCTAAAATGTATGGCTGAATGTATGTCTTTCAGCAATTAATTTAATCAGTTTTCAAAAAAAAAATCTCTGGACAAACATTTAGCTTACTATGTTTTCATAATCATTTTCAGACTAAAGTTTAATTTAGCTTTACAGACCTAAAAAACTGTTCATTTCAAGTTCACAAAAAGCAAAATAGGATAAGTTCTTGAAGATTTTAAGCACACACAATAGGTTTGTGATGCAGTACAGTCAGAAGATACAATTTTAAAGCTCTTTACCACAACTCTCACCGATAACCTTAACAGCAATAATACGTAAAGCACCAATAACTGTATGATAGCGTGTTACAACTAAAGCTGATATACTTATAAAAACTGAGATTTTCCCTAAGTCGAGGACTAAAACCGAGTATTTGGTCTGGGATATATAAAGTTGTATATTAGCCATTTTTATAGAATGTCTCATAATGCTTATGTCTGTAGGAAACTTGGATGAGGAAGGTACATAAGGCGCAGTGCATATACAATGACAATGTTTACTTAACAAAAACATTTCTTTTTTTGAGATCAGTTTTAAATTTTCATTTAAGAAAAATGGCAGTGAAAATTTAAATTGAAAAAATGGGAAATCTCATAAAGGTGATTGATATTTATACTACTGAAAAGAATCCAAGGAAACTAGTTTTACTGCTGAATAAGATCCAAGGGTTCTAGTTTTATTACTGGTTTCGATCCAAGGAGTCCAGTTTTAGTATTCAGGAAAGAAAATATAATGTAAATGACCTGGCTTTCAATAAATATTTAGCAATGCAAACACAGATTCTACCTACAAACATTCATATGACACAGATTCTACCTGCAAACATTCATATGACACAGATTCTACCTGCAAACATTCAAATGACACAGATTCTACCTGCAAACATTCATATGACACAGATTATGTGTGAAGCTGATGTAACAAAGGGAGATAAATAACAAACAAGGGATGTAAATGTTTAACCACAGATGATTCAACACAAAAATAAACAAGGACAATGTTCAACCATTTTCTCTATAATATTATTAACTTATGATTTATATGAATTATGTTCACACCTTGTAAGTTTTAAATGCACCTGTATCATCTTCAGGTACATCATAATTGACAGATCATGTATATCATCATTCACAAATAATCCACCTTATATTGATTCAACATATTCAGTTTTAATATCATTATAATTTAAATTTAAAATTTAAAAATTGTTTTCATGAATAACAATAGAGTGATAAATTAGCTTTAAATATCTGTTGAACCATATAAATTTGAAACTATTTGTAAATAAGATATACATTGAATTCATCACTAAGTAATATATACAATATAGTTTTTGTTTGGTATTTTTTTTTACATATTATGTATTTGGCAGTATAAACATTTGTATGTACACTATACACGATGTGACATGAGCCACAATGCACCATAGAAATTATATATATATATTATATACACAAGGTAAACTATATATATATATTATATGCACAAGGTAAATTATATATATATATTATATACACAAGGTAAATTATATATATATATTATGTACACAAGGTAAATTATATATATATATTATGTACACAAGGTAAATTCAGTCCATTTCATGTCAGTACCGCTGCCATCACTACAACTATAAACACACATTTTTTTAATTTAATTTTTAATAATTGTTTTTTCTTGTGAGGCTCAAATTAAGGCCCCAAAACACTATCACGATGGTTTTAAGTACCATAATGCGAGTGTTCTATAATTAAAACCGACTAACAGGACCCCTGTAACACAAGATCTCAGTCAGTACTGTATCCTCAATTCATCTAGAAAACTTGATTTTAAAGACCCTAAAAATCCTCTTATACTTCTTTCTGGAAAACGCAATGTTCAGACAATTGAGCTGACCATATCCGATAGATGTGTACTGGTCACTGTGATATTGTGTTATCAGAAACCCTTTGGCCGATTCCAATTCTATTTCTAACTTAACTACAACTGTAGGCAGCGGTACTGAGCCTGTTAACATTTCACCTCATCATCACTTCGAAGTACATACCAGTAGATGATGGTTCGGGTCAATATGAAAACTGTTGGAATACTTTGGATAAAAATCGTTTAAATATTAACATTTTGATCGGAAATGTTATTCTAAAGATTTATCTCTGAAATTAATTCAATATTTCTGCTTTATTTTTTCTATGCTTTACATTTTTTCCCCAAAACTCCTTCCTTTTTTTTTTTTTTTCTATGGAAAATTCTTCTAAAAGTGTTGATAAGACTCTATAACCTATTACAGCACATGTCTCATTGTCTGCACAATCATCTTGGAAATTCAACTCACACCAAACTTTCTCATGTGCAGACAGCACTGGTTGTTGTCTAGTTGTTCTTTATCATTGATTAACAAAATCTTATCTAATCAAAGAAAACTGTATTTTTAAAATTTGAAAAAGATTTTTTTTAGTAAAACTTGAAATATTGCAATTTTAAAAATCAGTTTTCTTTTTGTCATCTTTGGTCAACGTCTGAAAAGCACAGCAAAGAAGAACAAACTAGACTTTTAAAATCAACCAATCAAAATGTGAGCCTTTCAATGAGTTATCTGTTTTACTGTTTCAACGTTTCATCTTTGACTGAAATAATCTGGTGTTGTAAATGAGGAAGCACTGGCCTAGATTTCGACTTTGGACTTAAAAACATACACACAAAGTACACTGAGATCATATAAATAACAACTAAGCACCCCACAGCCACTGACATCCTACACAACACCTGGCTACTCTTCTTCTTTACATGTAAAGAAAATTTGAATAAAATTCGAAATTATGCTATGTTAAAAAATTAAGTACTTAAAACACTATAGGATGGTCAGTGACTGCACAGAGCAAATGCATAGAATAGTGGTACAAACACAGCCTATGATATATATATAGTACGATCAGTTGTCTATGTAGGAACACATGTACCAGTTCTTCACAGGAAGTCTGTGTGATTTGTTGATGTTTGGAAATTGTCTATATGATGGCCCCGATATGGTCACTGCACCTCCCTCCTTAATGCTGAACTGATCAGTTTGGGAGTCCGGTTTAATCAATAAACACACTGTTACCATTTCATAAAAGTTTCCATTGTCTTCACACCTACTGACCCACACACCTAATTAACATTTCTTTCAGTGGAAATGTCCTTGTCCAATGATTGTTGGTAAATCCTTGGGCTTCATGTTGACCTTGACCTCCACTGTCGTCTCTGTCTCGGTTGTTGACCTTGACCTCCACCACTATGAGTGGGAGAGCTTTCCCAGGAGGAGGCATGCGATTAATATTAACTTTAACATAGCTGCCATCATGCTGTTGTTTTCATTTTTTAGAAAACAAGAATGTTTGATCAAATTGAAGCAGATTTGTTCTGAATCAATGGTGTAACGATTGAGAGGCTGAGTTTTAATCACCGCGGAGTCTGCTGGAGTAATCTCATTGCCAATGATTCATTGTCTCTGAAGAGCAATTTCTGAATCAGTCCTGTAAGATGAAAACTCTTGCTTACGTGGGTTTTCTTTGATGAATATGCCTTGGCCTCAAACAGAAGTTATTTCTGGATCCTATGAAGAAGCAAGACTCTACGAGCTGTTTGATTGCAATCGATGGGTTGCCATCTTCAGTAAATGAAGGTCCATCCATGAAGCACACACGTATATACATATCTACAATACCAAATATGTACAAAAATCTTGTGCAATGTGTCTTTAGTTTCTAAGCACTTATATCCCCACGGTCTACGGCAGTTTGTTACAAGGTCACGCTGAAGAGGGTCAAAGAACATCCTTCATATTGGAATGACGATGCACACTATAAGGTCAAGGTCACACAGCGACCTATGGCCTTCTCCAGAATACCTGCTTCTGAGAGTACCTCCATCTGACCTCATCTTGGAATGTAAGAATGGATTTATTGTTTTTCCACATTTAAACATCACAGATGAAAAATATGTCACCCTCTGCGAAACCGACAAACTTGCAAGCTGCAATCCGGACAACTTATAGGCTGCACTCCGGACATGCTAGCTCGAAGAGCCCAAACCATGGTATCTATGGTAACACTGGCCTTGCACCTTTGTCAACCTAGAGTCTATCACAGCACTTAACTTGTGCGTTTTTACAGAACACAACAGTCACTGAAGATTGCGCACACTACACATAGGTCTTATTGTCTGTAGAAACCGGAACATTCGCGTTCGAAAATGGTTTAGCTGGCGCATTGCCATTCGGTAAATTTGATCCTTTCGGTAAATTCACGACTAAATTTAATTGTTTATTTGAATTATTTATATCGGAATGATTAACATATCTGGGTTCTTTATTCGAGTCCTGTGACAATGTCCGTTGGTGATTTTTATGTAAAGAACCGTAAATGTCTTGTTTTTCTGTGAGGAATGCATCGTCATTGTCGTCACTGGTATGAGTGCAGGACCGCACTTTGTAGCCCGCCACAAAACTTAATATGGAGGATATCACTATAGCAACCACAATGGCGATCGCTGTTTCAGCAACACTTAAAGATGACGGTTCTGCTTCCTCCAGTTTCTCCCCAACAACTGTAAAATAAAGGCCAACATTAGATTCATACACTTAACAATAGATAAATATATTATACCATAAACACTTAAAACCAAACAACAACAATATCACTTAAAACCAAACAACAACAATATCACTTAAAACGAACTTTGAAATCATGAGATTTCATTTTATCCTGATGGATATTTCACATTATTTTTAACTATGGGATATAAAACATGTATTCCATGAAATCTAAAATGTGACACAACCCTATCTGTAACCATAACAACATGCTTCTATATACCGGAGGCACTGTCATCCACTAGCTATGTCATGCTCTTATCCCCTTATATAGGACTCTACCCCTCAATATGACCTTCACATGACCTTCCTAACCTTACCCAGTATCCATGCTGACTACCAACTGTTGTTTTTAGTCACATGCTAACATTGATTAGGTCAATAATGATTACTTCTGATATCTTTTGAAGTTATTATTTTTAGTTCTTTTAGGCAGTGAAACCACGATGTTCTCAATGGCTGTGAAGATGTTACTGCATGCTCACAACAGCTACTGAACCAAACCAAAGAACCAAATAGTTTACTGATAATTAAAATCAAATACACTAAAATAATCTAAAATACAGATAAAACTAAAGACAAGCAAGCATTTAAATAAATACAAGAGAAAAAAATAGAGATAAAACAGCAGGAAGATGCAAAATAATAAATTGAAAAATAAATAATTAATTGAAAATGTAATTGAATTAGTAAGCCATACAAGAAACAAAAGCCATAAAGCTGAGCATATTTTACATTTTTATGTTGCGATCATACGGCCAGTTGACGTTTAAGGCGACACAAGGCTAGGCAGGGCATGAATAATTCAGGGCTAGTGATTGATGTGTCCTTATATACAACACAAGATGCAGAGTAAGTTGTGACGAGGCCCATAAACCCATCAAACCTATTACAGACCTCTTACACACAGTGGGATGGGATCGTCAAGGAGCGAGCTACTACAATACTAACACCGAGCTTGGGGATATTGTCATGTGATGAGAGATGAAAACAAACAGGTCGTAAAACAAAAGTGATGAAGAAAAATTAAAATGGAGTAGAAATGATAGGTTTATAGCGGATCAGAGGTTGTACGAAGGAAATATAACAGATGACTGCAGCGATGACAAGGCAAAAGTATTATGATTGAGTTGCCAAACAAAGGTGCTCGATAAAGGATATGTTCTATAGTTGGGACTGTACAGTACGGAACGCTGGTTATTGTAGGATGGCGGGATGATATAGTAGAAATATATTCTTGAATATTGAATGATAAAAGGCTATAAAAACAGAGAAGCACTGATGAAACAGCATGAATCAATATCATAATTCTTAGGTAGAATACCGAGGCAATATGGTGATAGGGCAGCATACATACAACGTTAGTAACGCAGGGTTACACAAAGGTATTACAGATGCAGGGTACGTAATGATAAACAGGTATTAGTGATGCAGGGCGAGGTATTAGTGACGCAGGGCGAGGGATTAGTGACGCAGGGCGAGGTATTAGTGATGCAGGGCGAGGTATTAGTGACTCAGGGCGAGGTATTAGTGATGCAGGGCGAGGTATTAGTGATGCAGGGCGAGGTATTAGTGACTCAGGGCGAGGTATTAGTGATGCAGGGCGAGGTATTAGTGATGCACGGCGAGGTATTAGTGACGCAGGGCGAGGTATTAGGGACGCAGGGCGAGGTATTAGTGACGCAGGGCGAGGTATTAGTGATGCACTGCGAGGTATTAGTGACGCAGGGCGAGGTATTAGTGACGCAGGGCGAGGTATTAGTGATGCAGGGCGAGGTATTAGTGACGCAGGGCGAGGTATTAGTGATGTTTAGTATATATATGAGACCAGTGCCGATTATGATGGACTGTCACTGAGGAGGAAGCTACGAGGCCGTGTTGCACACAGTATTAGCCATTGTGATATACACATCTGACAGGTTTCACTGCCTTACCAACAGAGCTTTCCTCCATCTGGTTGGATGCAAACACTTTCTCATCAGGTTTCACTGCCATGCCATCTTGAGGCATTTTTGTGACTGTATTGTCCGTTACTCCTGTGATTTGAAAAATTACAGCCCATAAAATAAAAGCCGAAGAGAAAAAAAAATGCTATTGAAACTTTTAATTATTGAATTGTTTTCCCAAGTTAATTCAATGAACAAATTTAATTATTTATCAAGAAATGAATAACAAAAAAAAATAATACCATGGTAAGAATGGTTATTAAACAATAAGTAAAATAAATAAATAAATAAAATTAGCGTATGTATACTCTGGAAATTAAGCACAAATCTTTGAACACTTTGCTGAGATTGTAGTGCCTCCACTAACCAAGATTGCTATGAGATTGAGCGTTGGGGATGCTGTTGCTAGAGGCTCCACAGGAACAGTTGCATTGTGGGCTGGCTGTTGGCATGGCAACAGCAGGTGTAGGTACAGGTGTCACTGTCTTTGTTGTTGTTTCTATAGAAATTACCAATATTATCAACAACTGTGCACACGTATATATATCCTATGAATGGCTATTGGGTGACTCTGTGAAATGTGAAATATAAAAATATAATATGTCCCTTTAACCGATTTTAATTAGAGGTCAGGCGCAAATTGAAAATAGGGAACTTTGGTGAACTCAGGGTGAAACAATAATATTAAAAAGAAAACTTTTACCATGCAAGTTAAAATAAAAGAGGACAGAGAAATAACCAACAAAAAATAAGAGTATACAACATCAAGTGTATATCTATGTAAGGTGTGAGGTGTAAAGTATTCCTACCTAAGGGGGTGCCGCACGCTGGTAACTTGCCATCAACAATACTCTGTAATCTGTAACGGAGAAATAAAAGACAAACATTTTATTAAAATTCAATCATTTCCCTGTTGTATGCAGAGTGTAGCAGATCTCATTAAATTGGAAAATATGACCATTTTATAGAGTTTGTTGAAATATGAGCATGTTGATCCAATCTTTTGTAATTTCTCGTTTCAAACTAAACATCATTATTTGCCTCAGTGTAGTATAGTGATCATGAGGATAATAGTAAAATTTCCGAAACAACTGCTCCATTTTCAAGACGACTAATACTTGTGGACGATGCAATCTTGAAAATACCATGATAATATATATTGATACAGTACTATATTCATTATAGTGATTGGTAGGAGCTATGTAATTTTTGTTTGTGTTGTTTAGGTGGAGATACATACCCTCTGTCAGAGGCAGCACAGGTGGTGTCAACAAATGAACAGTACGGATCCTGCAGGCCCACACACTCACTGAAAACAATTCATTTTATATAAATTACAGAGATATATAAAATATTTTCTCATGGCTCACAAGATATCTGATACTTCAATACAAAACTTATTATGACCTACTTGTCGGTCACTATGAGATTTGGTGCCTTAAACAGTCAGAAATAATCTTCTAATTTCAACTATTTTTAATAAACCTTTTCTATTTTTAGTTAATTTCTTATCCTTTAATCTTCTTTCACAGCTATATTTGAAATGTGTACGTTAATCGTGGGTAGACTGGCTCCAATTGGACTTACGAGCGACCTCACAACAGTTCTACGTTTAAGGTCTCTATCTCTGTCGATATTGGAGCGATCTGTGGTCTCTTCAAATGTAAATTGTATAGCGTAAATTCTGCTTTGTCACTGTGTGCGAGGAGCTATTTCTAAAGAAGTTCGGTGAAGTGGAAAGTTAGGTTAGGGATACCCGCTAGACAAGCTGCCAAGTGTTGATCACCTTACAGTGACGATCCATCGTCATTGTGCGAGTGATGAGGGGCATACAATGGGGGCGAAATACACAAACTAAACCAGTCATATATTTACTAAATCAGGGGTCAATATCGCTATACTTAGTTTCAATACAAGGGGGAAAATTTCATCATACATAACACAGGTAGGAACATAAATCTCACCTACTGTAATAAATATTTTAGTTCAATTTTTTTCTTCTTTTAACATTTCTAAAATGTCTGAATGAGAAAGCAGATTTTGAATAAAAATGAAAAATGTTCTTTTCATTTTTTTTGGGTGAATCCTTTCAAAACCTGACTTTTTTAATATCAAATAAAATTCTACGACTGATAAAATCTTTTCCTTGAAAATTGGGATATTACGTTCTCAGAATATATGTTACCTGCAGGTTAGAGCACGCTCACAGCGATGAAGAGGGATGGACATAATATTTTCTCTCGACATGACGATAAGCTTGTCTAATCCATGTTGTTTATCGTGGAAGATCTTCATGTCGGTAACAGGTTGCTTATCCTCGAACACCTGAATATCCTCCAGAATCACAGATTCAATATCTTTACCTTGTCCTTTGTTTATAGCCTTCAACACTCTGCCATCGTCTGTAGAATAAAACATGAACAGGTCAGGCTTATTGTCAGTATTTCCTGTGTCTTATCCTAACAGGCAGACAAAACCGACCACAGTCGTGGGCTATAAACCATAACCTTAACCTTTCTTTAGGGGGATTTTGTTTATGAATAATTGTAAACTATTAAGTTCAGCATGTCAAAATATTTCATCATCTGCAACTCTTACTGTAAGAATATCAATAGACTAGGTGAAATAGTTCAAGTTGATGCACACATTATCACTAAAAATAATGAGAAACAAGGCGTCAATACTAGAGTTTCATGTGTTTTTGAAAGGTATAACACGAAAAGACAATTATGTTTCGGGGATGATATCGGTGAAACTCAGTTTTTGTGAGTTAAGACAAACGCTTTTGGACATTAAGGCTTTCCATCAACCACAAAGTGTCTGTTAATGACTTGTAACTGATGAATACTTATTTGTCGACTCGAGCTATTAAATGAGGATTTCAAGACGTTACACACTATCATTTCATCGTTAAAGTTTAACATTTTTTAACAGACCTCTAAATTTCGAATTCGAACATGTAATGACTTGTTCTATTTTTGTCGTTACAAAGACTTCATTTCTAACTTTCTACCACTGTGTTTATTGGTGCTTTTTGTTTTAACAGTGTCTATTTACCTGTGCCGACAAACATGATGTCGTAGTATCGGTTATCAGCAGCATGGACCTGCCAATCGATGGCGATTTTAGTGAATCTAGACCTGGAAAATAATAAAATGGGAATATTAGACTGGTGTAATCCGTAATCTGCTGTATGGCAGGCTATCATGATTTCATTAAGAAGAGGAAATTCTTTCTACGTAACTCTCTACAACCAGAATAATCCCCAGGTTCCTGAGCAGCCATCAGCAGATCAATGAATAAATGTCAAACACTCTCGGCTCAACACGCCTTTTCCCTCAACAGCCATAAATAAATAAACACCAACAAAGTGAAGCAATTTTGAGATGTACGGGTTACTTCAACATGTGTGAGAAGCTCTAAAAAAAACCCAGCCATTGTTCATGGCAAATCGAAAGTGTAGTGAATTAGAGGGCCTAAGGAGATCGTGGAGTGTTACAGTGCTGTTGGCTGTGTCGAGTTCTGACCTGGGAGTCAGGGATTAAGCTAAATTAGATCTTGTGTGCAGTGTGCGAGGTGAATTCCAATGTCTTTGTTTTTCACAACAACATCTCGATTAAAAATATGTAACAAGTTGCTGAAATCTTACTTTAGACTGAGTTTCATTAACAGGGGGGCACCTCCAAATGATGGAACAGCACCGTCCATCATCGTGTGAGACTTGACAAAGTTCATGGTATCTTCGCCAATGTTTTCGCTGTCTTCTGAGCAGGATTCTGGATGGGGCTTGGGAGTGTTTTCATCGGGAACAGGCAGCCATTCATGTCCAAAATTTTCTTGACCTTTGAATTTCCCCTTGAAAACATCGACAATGTCGTCGTATCTGAAGGCGCACACAGCTGATCCACGAATACTGTTTTCGGGGGTGGTAAAGATAGCATAGAACATCTGCTGCCTGTCCTTACTTAAATCTGTAGATCTGTAGTTGCCTTGGAAAAAGTCTGAGGTTGACTCTGAAATGAGATAAATTAATTTTACTAGTCTCATTTTTACTTGAACTTAGGCTATGAAAGTAATCTTTTAAATTAAATTTACACGTTTTCTCAGCTCACAATGACAGAATGAATTATTAAAGTGAAATTTTACACTTACGAATTTCATTGAAGTAGAAAGGGAATTCTCCCGGGATTGAACAATTGAGGCGTGCTTTGAAGAATGATGTCCATGTGTTCTCCAGGACTATGTTACCTCCCTTGTCGTTCTTACACACTCGTGCAACCCGTGAAAATACAGCCTGTAATAAAAGGTGTGACCATTAGATCTATGTACATAAGGTACCAGGTACGGACTATACAGGGATGTGTGGACATGTCAGTAGTGTACAGTCATCGGTGTGTGTGGAGTTATAATTAATGTAATTGAGGTGCTACGCTGTTTTCTGAATCTGTTTCTACACTCAGTAATGAGTGGTGGTGTGCGGGGGTTACGACACCAAGGATGAATCTTAACTTTTTCCACATGTCTAAACCTTAACACATAACTTTACTCTACCTGTGATAATTCGTTCCACAAAAATATTTTCGTTGGGATTACTAAGGGAAGCAGTATTACAGAGTAATAATTGGTATTTACCCAGTGTCTGTCCTCTAATACTTAGAGAGGTAGCTAGTCATTAGACAACCAATGGTGTGTTTGTATTACTATTTTTGCCATAGGAATATTTATGTTAATAATTATATCTCTGCTGTTCCTTCCCTGTATTTAGCTCTCTCCCGGGGAGCAGTCATTATTCACATCTCCGGAGAAACCATTATCTGTAACTTCAATACCTATATTTACAAAGAAAACCTAACTGTTTGCTATGTTATTAGTCATGTGCATTCAGTTCCAATCTTTTGTCATCTTTTGCTGTATGTGTAAACGCCTAGAGATGAGAACTATCTGATAGGATTCATAATTCACCTGTGTGTGAATGCACAACACTTGAGGCCACAGACTGTAGACCTATAGTACAATTTCTGTTGTTGTGTACACAACAATAATATCATGACAAACAAAAATAATATCTTTTTGTGAGATATGAACATTGTAATAAAAACAATGTAATGAAAAAGCTGTAATCGGAACATTGTAATGACAACATTGTAATGAAAACACTGTAATGACAAGTTAGGACTGTACCTAATTACCGTTTACAGATTCTACTTATGTTAGAGGAGGGAATTACATAATAGTCTGGGTATCACAAAGCTTCATCAGGAAATCACCTCCCCAGTTACAATGTTATTTTTGGTACAAGCGCATTAGTGTTATTTATAGTACATGTGTAATCAGTTGATAGTCAGGGTTGCCAAGACAACCCCACAAAACCGGGGATACCAGACTAACGAGTTATATTAATAAAGCGGCCAGGTATGACTGTATAACAGTACAGGCTTATGTCACCAGGCAGCATCACTGTTGTATATATATTTCCCCTTAGTTTTTAGGGTACACTAATGATGTCATGGTAGATCATCACTCCCTCCCTGTTTCATTATTTATGTAACAAGCTGGGCAAAATCTCTAACAAACCAGAAAGGCTAATTAAGAATTTTTTTCAGTAAATCTATCAAAAAAACAACCAGAACATAAAAAATGCTGATTTAACATTTGACAATAATACTTAATAGAATTTGCTGACATGAAAGAATGAGACAAAGAAAAAATACATGCGTAATTCATGTGTGAAAATAGAAGTCTTGAAATCTTTTAAATATTTTAATCAGCAATTTGATCCGGACCTTGTAATGGAGATATTGGCAGACAGGAAATTCCAGAGATACATAAATATTTTTTGAGTAGAGTATTGTCAACGTCTCTGTTGTGGGGTCGTCAATGGACCCTTACCCTGACTGCACCAGTACACACACACACGATAACGTCTTAGTTTTCACACCTCTCAAAATTTGTACAATACAATTCTTCTGTACATGAATTTGATCTTCCTGATGCAGAGCACCTAGAGGTATTGGTATTTTAAACATTCCACCCGTGCCCCCTTTGAAATTAAACAGGGCCATTCTACGTTTCCTTCCCTGGTTGTGATCACTTCTGTCTACCCCATATCAACAGTTTCATGTTATCCTTACCTTGCCACAATTGATGTTTTCAACTGCCGTCTCCCGGAAGAAGAAATAAATCTTGTCTTCAATATCAAATGAAGCAACAAAGTTTGGGTCTGAAAAAACAAGGGAAACGGAGAATGTAATTGCATTTTCAAAAGGTGCTGAATTCAATTACGAAAAGAGATCACTTCGATTTTTAATTGCAAAATTTTCTCACAAATGACAGATAAATCTATCAAAAACATGAACTAATTTACATAGTTTAGAAAGATGCTGTAGCAGGTAGGATATCGTATAATATAAATGTACCGTTGAGCCATCTTGAGTCGTGTGATCGGGTCCTAATCCTCTGTCCGTTCAGAATGAGAGGGTTTTGTTCTGCTATGTCAGTCACGGTCGCCCCAAACAATCTTTCATCTGTTGATTAAAACAAGTGAAATTCAATATGAAAGCACTTGACAATTTCTGGCCCGACGTGTTTAAACTTAATTGTTGAAACATAACATGCAGGAAGGCTTGCTTTAACAAACACTTTGTCTTCATTATACAAAAAGCATTGTGAAAAATGTTCAATACGAAGCTCTATTTTGAAATTTAATCACTTAAATCTTAACAAATGGCAACTGTTTTCATACTGTGTAATTGGTTCTCTGTAATAATTGTGTTGGTGTCATGCAGCTGTAGCTAACCCTAATTGAAGTGGTTTTCAACTCAAATTCTAACCCCTCTTTCAATCTTCCCCCCAAAATAGAGAAAAAACTTAACCCTGAAATAATTTTGGAGAATTTGTTGGAGTACACATGTAAATGATCGTAAGTGCTGCCAGTGACAGATGTGGCAGCTCATGTGTGGTCCCCTACAGACCCAGTAACCAACGGTGACCCGTAATGTATCCATGGTAACCAAACCCTCACCAATAAAAATGGGTATTATCTAATTCCACATCACTTTGGAGATCTTTTATATCCATGACATGTTCCTTACAATTTTACAATGGCGGAGACGGCAACTTCTGACCTTTCGCCAATATTTCTGTAATCCGAGTCCATCAGATGCTTGAAGTAACATATCTTAATCCACATTTATCTTGCATGATTCTATTACTTTCCGTTTCTAAATTTGAGTGACACAACTGTAATTTATGGGTTGGTAAAAAAGTTAAATTTCACAATGGAAGATAATGACATGTGTTGAGAATACTTACCAGCGTAAACAAATGAACTGTTATGGTTTGGGTTGTATGGGCATTTACCGACACCACTCATTTCTTCTGTCTGGGTATACCCAACGGAATCCTGAAAGACGAAAATCACACATTATAACAAACACTTAACTCCGTGCAATAACGTGGTCAAAAGAAACTTGTTTTTAATAATAAGGAACATAGAAGGTATTATCTTGGGTGGTGCACGAAAACATCAAAGAAAAGATTTTTCTAGCAACCATCAATTTCGTACTTTGTTTCATTGCATTAAAGAGTGTATCAACACAGAATCTGATATATAATAGCTTGACTGTAGTGATTTGTTCGGCAGGTGAAATCAAAGAAATCCCTATAAACCCATATCTTTACAACACAAAGCCTACAACAATATTTCTATCTTTTATTTGCCTACCTATTTACTTCAAACTTGTTTTTCCTTAAAACAATGAGTTCATGTTTAAGAGATTGGTATATGCTGTGGAGTCCAGTGTAGTTGTTAAATGGATATTTGTTTGACCTCCAACCTTTATTTCATCTATAACCATATTGAAAGTGTATCAGACCTAACCGTCACAGAGATTTCATAGGATTACAATTATCCCAGTAAATCACATGCCTGGTACAATAATCTGCTTTCATTCACTCCAACACAACCAGAACAGAACAAGAGAAATTATTTATCCTACACTTATATACTGACAGTTTGCCAAGAAAGTCTGTCTGCTGATATGGGAGGGGGGAGAGTGGGATGAAAGGGAGGTAACACCAATGGGGGGGATCAATCATCAAGAACTGTACCATGCCCATTACTAATAAATTTGGCCACAGGGGAGGAATAGGTACAATATAGAGTCTGCCTCTACAATCAGTCTGTCAGTGATATACAATGTAGCTGGCCTGTTGGTGCAGCGTGTGGGTTAGGTCTGTCTAAAACCTACTGCCAGGGAACACAAGGGAAAAACACATTTCTTCTTACGTCAGAGCCCCCATTAAAAAAAAAGAAAACAAATTCGGGACTAATTAAATATAAAACCAAATTTTTTCAACCTTTTAAAAAATCAGACTGATTGTAGAACATGTATTCTCCACCCTTTTACGTCTTTTGAAAAACAATTGTAATCTAATAAAACAGAGCATTTTCTTGAGCGTCATTGTGTAATTTGAGACCGGAACAACAAGTTGTGGTTGGTAGAGGGAGATATGGATCCCTACAGCATTAGAACTCTTACACAAGCATAGGGCTTCATTCATAATACATAGGTCTGGGCTCCAAATTGAATCAATCAGACTGTAAAACCATCCCAACCTCCCATTTATGCCCTGCTAATCTTTTCCTATTCAAACAGCAATTTGTCCCTAATTTTCTATTACAATGACTGCTATCCTAGCTCTTTTATTTAAAATACTGTACTGCCATGGTTCATTAATGGGTTTTTTGAGGAAGACCTGCAAATTATTCAAGATGATTTCTTTCCTGTAGCTGCAGCGTCTTTTATTGTGAGGAAAACATCAGTTCCTACACCCTGTATTTCTGGGGCATCATTATAATATTTATTGCACCATGTTTAAGATCTTCAATACAAACGGATGATTCTCCATGTAAAGGATTCCACCGTTCAATATTAATTAAAACCCATAACTCATCAGATTGTCTTGAAAACCTCATTTTGGTTATCTCAGATATCAGTGTGCTAATTTTCTTTATCTGTTTAAACAGTCAGCATTTATTTTTCATTACCGTACCATAAAACTGCTGCACGCCTTGTGGCCAGTACATAAACCTGCCGTAGGAGTCACACATGATCTGGATAGTACAATATTTACTGTAGATTGTCTACTTTATGACAGCATGTGTAGATGTGTATGTAGATTTGTAATCTCCTGGGGCCATGCAGGTATAGGCAATGTAGGGATACTGTACCGGTTTACATGTCCTTCCACAGGTAACATGGAGCCACGCTGGTTAACATACATCTCCCCAGACACATGTTATAATCCTAATTGTTATAAAGTGCTACTGTACTGTCGGCTACTATACCTAACCCATCCCCCTCCTAAACCTCCGCCAATCCCTCCTGCCACTGCTCATCCTCCGACTACAATCCCTTCATAATTACAGGAGGTATCATTTCTTTGCTTTTTCTAACGTGATTCTATATAGATGCTCCTCTCCGTTCTTTTCATGACAGTTATAATTGGATTAATGATTTAACAGTCTTGAATAACGACAGATCAATTGTAAAATATCTATTAAATACACATTAAGGTATCAGTAATTGGACCACTACACAATGTCTGATGTCCTTCATGTTAACAATAATATCCAAGGAGCTTATATCCATAAACAACATTATTTATCAGCTGACCATCGGCTAATGTTCCGCCTGACCAATGATTAGATTAACTAACGACTGCCCTATAATCCCGGGATGGCTGTAGCCAGAGGGATGTAGCTGCCTAATTGTAGCTATAATCAGGTCAGTATCTCCGTGTCTGCCAAGGTGGCTGTAAGCCAATGAATCAGTACTAATTCCCTGAATCTCTATGAATAGTCTAACACTACCAAATCACCTACATACTGATTACTTGTTCAGGATCAGATCATACTCAAGGAAATACCTAGAAGGGAAGCAATGTAAGACTTCCAGCTTATCATCCCGCCACAGAAGATGGGGGTGGGGGCGATTACTTGTGTTGCTTTCCCTTCAATTTCATCAGGTTAGAAAAACTTACAGTGCTTTTCGTGTAGCTTCGGCACTTCGGTTTATAAGCGTTTGTTCCACACACCAACAAATCTCCTGACTCCTTTTTTCCGAGGACTTGGATAAAATTTTGGCATTCCTCCTGAAAAGACAAAAGATGTACTCAGTAAATAAATGTGTTTTAATTCTATTGTCTTGTTAGTTGATCTCTGAACCATGTACTGTAACATGGTCAACAGCTGGTGAATAGTTTGTACAATGACAACTTCATACAACAGCTGGGGCAAGATCAGGCAGAAAGTTTAACCCAGTAATCTAGAAATTGACTCCACAGATAATATCGTATCTAAAATGTAATCTTATGGAGTAACGGAGAAGGGGGAGAACGTGCACACAAGTATACAGAAACAGGTAGAGTTGTAGGACGAGAAGGGTGCCCACTCACACAGACAACCCGTTGTAGTCAGCTACACAAACTACTGTTGATAGTGTTTACGTAAAGAGATGCCCACAGAAATAACTGGTGCCTTTTTGTTGATTATTACTACAGCAACACGCAGCATCACGGACGCGGGTGCGTGTAACCAGTTACGTTCAGCATCTGTCGAAGGTCAGTCAGACCTGGTGAGAGACCTGCATACTAAGGTATCTTATACTGTCTTCCCCAACAACTCACACAGAAGTTTGTAATTGTATAAAAGTACCCATAATTTGCTGTAGGTTACGACTCCACATCAGGGCTGATGTGTGTTCTACAAGGCAGACATTTCCTGCCTAGAATACTAATGGTGTCATAAATGCCTCCCCTACTCTCCATAATTTCTCCGATGTAAAACATTTTAGGAATACATATAAAGTGTCTGATATCAGAATCTGAATCTTCTGAATGCTCCGATTATTTTGTTTATCATGTTTTTTTCACAGCGTGTGTTCGGTGACACACTAAGAACACAATGGATAGGAAAAACACATAAATTTCCATGATGTTTTAGGATTCATATGAACCTCACCAGCGCAACAATTATGAGAGATATAATGTGTCTCTGTAGGGCCCATTAAAAAGGGGTAATTTTTCAACCTTGTCAGGTCTATCTATGGTTGACAGCCTTGTATTCCCACCATCATATTACCGCACATAGTACTCACTGAGTCAGGCACACACATAGTACTTGACTATGTAAACCAAACACAATATAAATCAAGTTTCTGTCTTCAATTAAAAACCAATATATAAAATTTTACTATATATATTTACAAGATTTATAGAAAGCCATACTATTTCAAATGACTTGACATTTCCTTTTTCTATATTACATTGTACTTATAAGCCAGCGCTGACTACTGCCTTGGTTGATGTAGCTGAGATTGGTGTATTGAGGTACACACACACATGAGCAGACCCTGACAGGCCGTAAAAAAACCCTGAGATAGATACCAGGCAACAGAAACAATAGACCTGGCAGACGTCACAGCCTGGTCTAACTACATCAAGCCATTGTTCCTCTGACAGTTAATGTATACATTTCCCTGGTCTGGTCTTCATTCTGAGGGCGAGATGATCAGAGGAGCGAGCTTGAAAACCCAAGATTTGATAAAGAGAGAAGGGGGAGGGGGACCACAACTTCTGCCCGAGACCGAATCGTGATCAAACAGGCGGAACTTTAGACATGGTCCAAGAAGAAAAGTGTACTTTTTGAAAAACATGCATAGCCAGCATGGTGGCTGTTTTAAATCATAATATCACACTTAAAGTTTGTACCTTTAAAGCAATAAACGCATTGTTTATACAAGAAAATCTGATTCACAAAAAAAAAAGACTTCAGAAATATCAAGCTGCAGACTTATGTATCAAATCTCAAATTAAAAGTTTGTTGTTTGCATGGTTTGAAAATATTGTTTAATTACCAGCTGCGTAAAAGGGGGGCGAAGTCTGGTCTGTCAGAAACTGACACTTCATATAAAACTAGTAAATAAAATTCCAAGTCTACAAAAACACAATTGTCCTACATGTCAGGCATGCAATGAAAGGGCGGGGAAATTTACGGGGACTATGGAAAAGCATGCATGACAGCCATTTGTAGCAAGATCGCTGTACGTTATATAGAAAATGTAGGTTGCCCTGAGATGGTTAATCAGGCTGGCACATGATTGAACATAGGAGTGGAGACATTAGAGTCCTAATATAATCACCAGAACGGTACTATTAGACAGGCGGCCATGACAGTACTGTCACTGGTACACTTCGGTCGGAGTGTAATACACCAGACAGATTATAGCACACTACTTTACTCTGGTACAATACTCCCTTCTGTAGCACTATTAGGTACTTGCCTGTGTTTTTATGTAACTCCTGACCCCTCTCATACCTTCTATAATTCTGTCCTTTTTATTTCACAGTATTGATCCTGTGTATGATGCTTTTTGCATTATATTGTGCTAAATAATGATTGCACTCACTCAATTTTCTGTAAATTGTTTTCTATAGTGGATGAGTGTGGCAGTTTACTAATGCACTAATCACGTTAAATTTAAATTTGAGTGCACTAAAATAAGGATGTTAGCAGTAATGATGTCATCATTGTCCTTTCCCTCCTAGGTGGATTTTTTCAGCGTTCTTTTCTAATATCTGATTTCGCCTTCCATTCGTCCCCATGTACGATTCCTCCCCCCCCCATGTCTTCTTGCAGTCTAGTTATCTCCCCTGTTTGCTGTGTGATAGCTGGCGCGCACACACAAACAAGTGGGTCTCCTGCATCTGGAGCCCTCATTAAAATCTTCAGATAAGAACATTATCTGATAGCACTACTAAGTAAACTCTAAGAAGACAGATAACTCTAGTCTACGGCCACTTGAACGATCTGTTTTAAAGATGTCTGTCAGTTTCTGATTGAACTTCGACAGTTGTACTGATAGTGGCATCATGAAAGCGTAAACATAAACACTGACCTGATCTGTGCTGTGTAACTCAACAAAGTCCTTTTTGTACAGTGTTACGAACTTTTTTTAAAATGTCATTTTGGAAATTGGTGCATATTAAAAAAAGAAGTTAAATTCAAATTGTGAAGCCAGCTATGCAAGCCCCGCCTCAGATAAATTATGCGGCATACTGCATTAAAACATAAGGCGATTTTGTAATGCGTAGTACGTATTGAATAGAACGGCGCGAGCTCACGACAACAAGGGCTGTGTTCCCTGTGATTGTCCAGATAAAAGTACTGTTATAGATTGAGCTTTGTACCTAACAAACAGACCACCCTGATTAGTCTCACCTTCTCATTATCATCGAATCAATGACCCAGTTGATCAGGTGTTATTTACCTCAATTTTTTTTTCTCAATTTGTTTTTACTAAACAAACATCTTTATAGATATCCCCAGATCAGCTATTTCTGTATGATTGAACTAACAATAACTACATTAATTTGTCAGATACAATCATATTTAAGTCATTTTTTTTCACACTAAAAACATCAACGATATTGTGATCAGAGTGAACCACCCAGTGCATGTTGTCTATTCCGTGGTTTATTACAAGTCATTGTCACAACAACAATTGACCCAGCTATTTAGCGGTTAACCTGCCATTATCGGACCATTTTTTGCTGTTCGTGTAGGCTGGTGTAGTGAGGAGTTCTCTGAGCCACTGCAGCTGTATATTAACTATACAGGAAGAGCTACACTCAGTGAACATACCTGGTACAATGGCCAGCGTTTATTTCTGATTTTTAATGGCGCGCTCTGAAACAGGAGCCTGTGTGCTGACTTTTGAAGTGTGTATGTACAAAGTGATTACCGGGATATTGAGCTCATTACGATGCTTTTGATCAAGTCACGGGTTCTGCTCCCCTCCAACAATGAGATGCTCTAATTGGAGATTACCATCATCAACATCCGAACATCTAGGAAACCCCTTACATTCACACAAATTCATGACTCGTAACACCTTTATACTCGCAGGTTCCTTTCACATTGATTCTCATTACGTTTTCACCTGTACTCCATAAACCTTTAACTATTGGTCGTATTGTACAGCCGCGGCAATATAACACGGGACCCTTGATACAGATTACTGGTCAAAGGATCCATGTCCCATTGACGCTGTGTTCAATAAAAACAGCTAAGGAATGTCACCATTACTACAAGGGATTGGGTCAATACCATGTTCCGTCTCTCTGCACCACCAGCATCATTAATTTCTATGTTTAAATTGAGCCGAACTGTACATTAATGCATAACGAACGTTTGCGTTAGGAAGGATTGAAATACCAATTTTGTCAACCAGCGGCAGAAAATTAGCCTGCCATCACTTTCAGTTATACCATTTCCAATGGGTTTGATAATAAAGTGAGGCCTATCCTGCGAACACTCTATTAATGCTGATCATCAACACCGGGTTGTCCCTACTACCAGATTCCCATATTACTTTGATGATGTTTTCTACATCAGCAGGTCTGGTCGAGTCAATACGGAAATTGGTTTGCACGTCAGATCTTTTATATTGAAAATGGCAGCAATTCCTTCAAACCGAGCTCTGGATACTACTATCACAAGGTTTGATTATCAAACCTGGTCAATGATGAGTTTGTACACCAATGAACTCTGTAAATAAATGGCCTCCGGTATTTGTTTAGAAGTACGTCTGTGTCCTATTAACAATCTGATTGATCTGATGGTTCGTTTCACCTGCTGACAATTAGCCCAAGACTTTAATAATCAATTGTTTTATTGGTTATTGGTTTGTTTGTGGTCAGTTGATTGGCAGCTGACCATTTGCCAGACAGTGTCAACACCTCGACTACTAAACCAACAGAGAGGGTGCCAAGTATTAGCAGTCTTCGTGTACATCACTATTTAGCTGTATCACCAAGCACTAGGGCCCTCGATCTCGTAGTCTTTGTGTACATCACTACCTAGCCGTATCACCAAGCACTAGGGCCCTTGATCTCATAGTCTTCATGTACATCACTACCTAGCCGTATCACCAAGCACTAGGGCCCTCGATCTCATAGTCTTCATGTACATCACTACCTAGCTTCAAATATCTGTATGCCATGATGATGATGATGAAAATGAGAAATTAATGTTTTCAAGTCTCGTAAAAGCTGACAATATATTTTATTGGTTCCTCTGGAGTAGAGATTTCCCCTAATTATGGGTGATGGTGCCACGGAATTAGCAGCGATTGAGTTACAGAAAAGACAATTAGCGTTTAGGTTTGGTACCTGGGCCAAATCCCTGTCACCTGGGCTAACAAAAGGCAGGTCTCGGCACAGGTGCTTGTCATAAGTGTCTGGTTACAATATAAAACCGACCACAGTAAAACAATCAGGCCAGCGTTCAGCAGTTTAGGGATTGTTGTAATCAGTGTGCATGTCTTCTGGTCATTAATCCAGACTTCAGTGATCAATGCTCACCTGTAGAGGTAATAGATACCCAAGAGTACGAAATGCCAAGTCTTGTGACCTAGTCTTTATGGGTCAGACTGACAGGTCTGCTACCCTGTACACCCCTCACAAGCCGGGCTTCAATGTACCAGGCAGGCTTCTATGTACTAGGCAGTCACTGTCTGGCTATAGTCATAAAGTGGGCATTTTCTGTGGAGGTTGGTTCAGTTGTGAGAGGTTGTTGGTTGAGATTTTGGGTACTGACATATTATGGCGAGGTGGGGAGATGAGGTAAACAGTCGTGTGGGAGGGTACATGTGTCCATGAATCACACAAGCGCTCAGACTGAATGTGAAAATATGGCACAAACACAAACTGAGTCAAATCCGAGACAGTTATCACAGAACGCACCTAACGACCTAACCCAAACAATAACCTGCTGTTTCCCAATGTCACTTTCTGGCATAGATATGGGACTATCTTCCTAACATGTGCCAGTTGTGTGGGAATCACACTCTCGCTGGAGCACCCCAGACAGGAAAAAGGAAAGCTACAATTTACGTACCTCTGATTTTTGTTTCATTTTGCAGACGTTCATGTCAAATGATCTAGGCAGCCATTCAATTCTCTGTAATAAAATAACAGATATTTTCTTGTCATAGCTGTCTCAACACAAGTCCTAACACTTGTGAAAACCTCCACTTATATCAACAGGTTCCAATGTCACTGAAGTTATCTTACATTTGAAGACTTTATTAATGAATTTGGGACTTTAACAAGTCTTATATCTTGAAAATATCAAACCATAATTATGTTTTTTTCTTTCCTTTTCTCTTAATGTTCAATTTCATTTTGATAACATATGTATGTAATTTGATAACGTACCTCTAAACTCTCCTCTAAATTGACCATGCTGATATTGTGCAACGTATTCCTGTAAATCACAAACAAAATAATTAATAGAAAATGTAACAGCAATTATTTAAACATTTAAACCATTACATAACAAATTCAATTACAGAGCGAAGTTGGCAACCACTGATGGCAATCACCGATTAGGTGTGGACCATTGAGGTAAAATGAAAGTAAAAGCGTGACAAATTATTCGAAGCAATTTGTGACCATATCCTAATCACAGGCTTATTGGAGGCTTGTTGGCACATTGTGTGTAATCTGTATACAAACAGGCTGTAGTTGACCTTATCATGGTCGACAAGACCAGTCAGGTTTGTATTGGGAAGAAAACCCTCCTTCAAATTCGGGTCTAATGGAGGTTGAAGGCTAGATGTGTACCTCCCAAATCTCCTTATCAACACGAACCCAGGCTGTGTGACCCAATGATCCCTCAAACAAACATGTCAGGCTAAGACTGGCACACTTGTTTTTAACTTACGCACTTGAAAAAAAAGGGTTGACCTTTTAATGGTTAGCGAAAATTTCCCCGAACTTTGTCTTATCACCTGTAGGTTTGAATTTACTGTATCTTATAAACAGTCTCTTGTGTTACTCCTGATGAGCCCAGTGTCTGACAAGGCCAGATAAGGCAGGGTAAGGAGCAACGTAAGGGGACCCGCACTAAAGGAAACACAGAAACTCTCCCTCACATCGACTGAGATGTCCTCAGTTGTAGGAGTTTTCCAAGGCACATCTGAATTGTCATATCAGCTTGCTTCAACAATATACAGCCTTTACACGACCTCCAAATGCCAGGGGTCAATATACACACAAAAACATTCAAATATAGAATGGCAAGTATTTTGACATTTCTAAATGTTAAACAATGCTCTGAACACCTGATGTAAAGAAATATAATATGTGGTAAAAAACCCATTATCTCCCTAATCCCAGCAAATGTTTTGAATTCTAATAGCTTCCTACATTGAATTTTTCGAATCCTTACCTTGCTCCAACTAGCATTGACATTGACTCTCTATCAGTATACAGAAGTTTGAAGAAGTCTGAGTGGGTACTGACACCGGAGTAAGATTGTCTGCCTTGCACATCTGTAAAATACAAGAAACATCATAAATTAATAAGGGGTGGTAATTCACAACCAGGAAAAGATAACTCATTATATTGAGAGACGATACATCAAAAATATAACTCATCAAATACATTCATCCTAAAAGGTAACGCATTATAATACTATCTTACCAGACAGATCGAGCATAAAAAACATTATTTATTAATTTTAAATTGGTTTACAGTGTTGAAAGAAGGCCAACACTATCTATTCCATGTTAATGTTTTACGGTTGTTTGAAAGCATCTCAGTTTGCAAATAGTATACTGCAATGTTTTATCCTGAATCTGTCTGAATAATTGATAAAGGATTGGATGTTAGGAAGAAGGTGAGATGAAGCATCAGCTCCCTAGGGACAGCTAATTACGACATTTCATCCTCTGTCAATGATGTGTACTCTGTGACCGATATCCCTGTGCAGACCAGGTATGCATATCATTAAGGCTGGGAGAACCACAACTTCAAAACTTCAAGATACATCAACAATAACTGTCAGACATTGTGATTGATGTACAAAACCGTGACCTTCGGACTGTTGACACACCAGTAGGAGATGTTCCCTAATTATAATCTGGAGACTAAATCAGCGGCATTTCTTTCTCTCCCGTCTTTGCGAGAAAAACATTTCTTCATCTAAATCCTTTTATTTTCAATGTCAAATACTGGTCCAACACTCGAGGAATGGTGTACTTGGGTTGTTGGAATAAGTATTATAATTACCTCACATCTTTCTAACTTTAAATTTGTTCACCTTTTATAGACTTTACATAACATTAATTAACGATGGATAGTATTCATACTTAAAAACATATATGTAAATACACCTCCACAGTCGTAAATTGTTAACTTGTCTTTCAAGGTGAAGGGTTTCAAACGTAACTAAGTAATAGATAGAATATCAAATAGGTGACCATCCTGTAAATACTTTCCCAGTGGTTTTAAAGCTGAGCTGTCAGCAGGTTAAGATTACTGCGTTGTATGGAATACTACACTGAATCTCTTACGTCTTATATTTATATCAACACCACATTGCCCTCCACACACTCCCCGAAGTGACAGTTCTCACATTACAGACTTCTCCACTAGGGACACCATTAGCATATTTCAAAATGTTGTAAGGGGTGTCAAAAGTTTAACAATCCTTATGTAAAACGTTAGTATACTTTATAGAATAGGCAAATTTGAATTGTCTGTGGAAGTTACTACACAAGACCAGTACAGAACCACCTTACCTGGCTTATATTTAGAAAATAGAACACATGTGTTGTTCTTCAACTCTTTAATTGTAAAATTTGTCAGAGAGAAGATATAATTTGCGGTAATATCAAACGAAATTTAGAAGGACCAGACACCATAAGCACAAGACAGACCCTCTAGTTAGGGAGCCCTTAACATTCATCTGTATGTCAGACATCTCTCCGTTTTTTATGACCTTTGACCTGAATTGGCACACTGCCAGGTCAGAATGTTTCTTCTTTACCTTGCAGAGCTAGCATTAGTGAGAGTAAAGGACCTGGGTCCTAGTTACCCTTCTGTATCACTGCCAATGAGGCAGGCAGGAGCTACTGAATAATTCATATTGCTTGTTTAATAGAACTAACACGCATAAAATCAACTTTGAAAACTTCATTCAAAACAGATGTGAAGATTTTTGTTCATTTGAATAATTTGAAAAGGTAGGGGTTTGAAATTAAATGGAGAGTTTTAATAAATGCTGGGAAAGTCACCCTATAAAACAAAATTATAGAATCCCTACAGAATAGATACCATTCTAATGGAAATGTTTCATATTTCCAGGTCTATTCCGCACGGAGTCTGAAAAAACCTGATCCCATATACTCACGAGGCACATAATTGAAATAAACACACACGAATATATTAAAAGTTACACTTAGCCATATTTTCAATCATTCTTTCATAAATGAAAACTTTGGCATAGAATATCTAAATCTTCTTGATTACATATAAAACCTTTATTTAAGATGACGATTATTGATAGATAGAACTAAATTAATTTCGTTGAATACCCAGTACCCTGTTTATCTAAACAGCCTAGCCATGTTGATCTCTGATGGGTAACATATGTTATCAGTTTATCTGGTAATCATACCAGTATATGTTGACGTCAATATCTCCGAGTCTAGTAGCGATATACTAAAACAGGGTCTACGCCCATCTGATAAAGGTCTAATTGAAGGATATTTAAAAAGCATCTTGATATTCTTATCGATTTGTTTTGTGTTATATAAAGCAGTCGTATCGATATCTGTCCACAAGACTCTCAACCTACAGTTAAACACAGAAAATCTAATACTATACTCCGTATTTGGTCTAGTTTACAAATTAATCAGATTGTGAAACATCATGTATTGTTTGAATTAATTTAATATGTAATTAATAAAAATTTAATATGGTGATGAACATATTATAATAGCTGACTGCTGCCGAGTACAAAGCGACGTGGCGGGTGGGGGTAGCTTGTGTGTCAGGATCAGGTTAAAACTTGGCGGGCCACTTCAAAGTATCAAATAAATGCCCCATGTGTAATTGTCTGTCGTATGTAGGACAACTCAATCTACATTTGATAATAACGAGTCATGCTACATAAAAAGTTTGATGACTTCAATGAAAATATGACAGTGTTCGGCTGTAGAGCGAACTAGGACTAATCTGACGACTTATCTCGTTTCGTTATCGCTGACCCTGTCTGAAAATATGATGGTAGTATTGTATGGTTCTGTATATAAATATATGGGAACTCCATGGCCATTGGAAATAGGATACACACTGTCACATTTAATACAATATAAAAACTTGTTCATATTTACAATCGTAGATTTATTTTTCCTCCTGATACCCATCTGCCCATACAAAAGTGTGTATGGAGATTTGGCAGGGATCCGACCACTGTGAATGAGTGACGTGGGATATACAAGGCAACTTTGATACTCTGCCAAACGGTTACGACATCACAAATGTGTCACCAAATTTCGTAACAAGACAACATGTATAGTACAAAAAATGCTTCGCCAAATGTCGTAATAAGACGACACCTCGTAATACAAAAAAAAGAAGATCTCTAACTCTATCCATCACTTTTACACACAGGCCTACACTTGACTCGACCACAAATCAACATGTATTTTTTCACAGTTGACGTCATCGCTATCTGTCAGTGTACTGACTTGGTAATTAGGTAGCTTAACAGATATGTACACTTAAAACTTCATCCTAGTTTTTATTTCTTAGAATTTTTTTTTTTTTTAAATTCTTTTCAGGTAAGGTGGTCAATAAATAATGTTAGTTTTTTTTCCCAGGGCAGTAACTTGTAGGAATCCATCATACTTCCCCACAAGTATTCTTAGTAACTATGGTATTACCTAAATGTGACCGTACAAACTGTAGGTGTTAGTCTTAGAACCTCGTGACCAGTAACTGTAGGTGTTGTAATACAGATTAGGACGAATGACGACTAGTAAAGGTTAAGCCACGTTACAATGATTTCCATGTCAGACACCAAACAACAGCAGTATTTAACACTAAATATTTTGTTCTGATGAATACACTTCTCAACCTATCTAAATCATTCCAGCTTTACCGTGTACTCTCAATTGTATGACAAACACGACATCACCCAGACATAATCCCGGCCCTAAAATAGTCACCGAAAAATACATGAAGAGTATAGAAGAATACATGCCATTCCAGTTTCGAATAGGAAAACACATGGCAAATATTGACAAAAACTCTACTTAATATTTGTTTATTGAGGTCAAACTCTATATCTGTGACGTCAGAAGCACCCGTACCAACCTTAAGTAAATACTCCAAATCCAAAATTTAACGTCCAATCATTTTTTCCCATTTATCGATATTTACTTTTTATTTTTTTTGTTTCGTATTTGCATGTTTGCCACCGCCAAATTGAACTGTTAGTATGATAAAGCAAAAGAAGTAGTCACAAACGACAGACCTTTAATAACTGTATACTTTAATAATCCTAGACTTCTTAAGGCTTATCCTGATGTAGTCATAGGTTCTGCCATTCAAACATTTCCATAACCTAACAGATTTGTTTAATGTTTGAAGGCCGCTAAATCTCTTGTCAACTTTCCAATGCAATTAAGTATTGTTTTTTAAAACTCGGTTCTCGGTAATAATGGGGCTTAATTCATGATTAACAAATGATCAACGCTTTAATCGTCATGCTGGCTTATGCAGTATTTGGATCAGAATTTAATATTGGAAAACACTTCTAAGACTGCTTATCCTTTAGGGACAGATTAGCAGAAATGTAGAGAACAACTGTTCTCCCCCGGGTAAACGAACGTTAAAAGCATATGCTCCTCAAGGTTTTACATCGTTAATCCTTTTTACGTATGCAGGATGTTGTTCGGACACGAAAACTCAATCTGACGCACAGCAAAACAGTAAACACAATTTATACAGAACCAATTTATGCCAAATATCAAACCAATCTAATATTGTAATAACAGCTTCCTGGCAAATCTCCATTCTTCTTGGCAAGAAGCAACACCTATTGGATCTAAGTCCTAACCCATGGGTCTTTCCTTGCATGGTATATGAGCGTCTATACGGGTCCCTCTACCTTTAGGTGATCCCTATCTCGTAAACGTTTTAACTGTTGTTGGTGTCGTCCACACCCAGCAGCACCTGATGCCTATCTCTGCAAGTCAATCAGTCATATTTTTGCAGACAACCATTTAACAATTAAGATTATTGGTCAGGTAGAATGGGATAGAACTAGACGTGGGTCAAACACACTGACCATCCAGGTTTAGACAAGTGTCTGAGAAACTGAATGGGCAACACTTGTACAGCCCACTGAGCGTCTTTGTATCGCACTTTGATGTCAGATAAAACACACATGATGTACTTTTAACCCCGTCACTGGCTACACCGAAAGTCAAGAGGCTAAATTATGTGTAAGGTGGTCGCTACGGTCAACCATCTTTGTTTT